TATGGTGCAGGTTCTGGGCGTGGACTATCATCACGCACGTGACAATGCCGCTCACTATCTTCTATCGGTTCCACTCGACGGTCTGTTTGTGCGATATATGGAAGAGAACTTATAAGACGAAGAGTCTTGAGTTCTTGTGACAATCGGCGTAACCCTATGTCTCACCGTTTTTAGTCAATTATCTCGTCGTTAGTCTTATGGTGTGTTTTTGTTTTTGTAAAATATATTTTAATTTTATGCATAACTTTGCGTTAAGACATAAGACATAAGTATATAAATATATGATGTAATGACAGAATTTTTTCTCAATGCATTGATTACTCTCATTCATTGGACCCATAATTATATTATACGTCAGAATATTCTGTATCTCTAATTGTAATCATAATAATAATGTGTATCGACCTTCAAATGGCATGTATTTGAAGTAAAACTTTTCGAAATGATAAATAAGTAAATTGTAATAAAATTATATTTTCATCAACTGTTGTACAACTTATTCAATTAACAAATAACAATTAAACTGATATAACAAGGTAATCACAAACCACATTATTATTATTATGGCGCCACCTGTTAGCAGCAAAGTGTATAACAAATTACACTTACTTTTGGCAATGTTCTTAACCTACGTTAGGTCAATAGGTGGCGCCTATAGTCCCGTGACTGTAACTTTTTAGGTCAATTTGTCATCACCTTGTTTAGAGTTCAAATGAATTTTGTTATTTATGATAATTATCACCAACAGGTGGCAATATACACCCTGTTGAGTTTGCCGTTTACTGAATAATCCTAAGAATCCTATAAGAATCCTTAAGAATCTAGCTGTAATTATTGCTACTGTAGTTAACTAGTTATTTTAAATTATTAACCAAAGTTTTAAACCGTAAATAAATGACACACAAGTAATCAATAAAATTTACTTTTATTTGAATAGACTTTCATACGAATTGATATTAATATCTCAAATACCAAATAGAGTTTGTCGTGAAATAGAGAGTTAATCACAGAATGAATTTGTGGTGTATTTTCACTATATAATAGGTGTTTATTGTTTTTTTGTATCTCAAACATAGTAATAATCATTATAACAATTATAGGCATTAATCGCACAATTCATTTGATAACATCGAAAAACACGTGAAAAGTGAGAAAATATTTGTTTTTGTTTCGTATTCTTATAATAATCTATAGTTTTAATTACAAACGAGTTTTGTATCGCAATGTATGTCTCAATAGAGAGATGAAATTCACAACAAGTTTTGTGTTTTGTATCCGAAGTGTTTGAAAAAGTAATTTTTGGCAATAAAAATAAATTTGTTGCTTATTGGGTACGACACGTACAACATAAATGTGCAAAAAAAATAATTATATATATATATATAAATTAAATAATAAAAATGATTAAAAAGCAAGTGTTAAATAAAAATGCACCAAGAACGTACACGTAAATCAATAGTTAAACATAGAGCTGCGGTAATCAAATAAAAACAATTGCTGCACGCAAGGTCAATCACTAATTAAAATACAATTACACGCGTTATAAGTAATCATAAATACATAAATTACTAATTATATAATCATAATTAAAAGCGACAAAAAAATTATATTCAAGTCTAATGATTAAAAAAAATAATTATTTATATATATATCCGAAAAATCAGAGACAATATCATAAAAATACACTAAAACACAAGCGAATGGCTAAACGACTAATGAATTAATTGCTAAAAATAAAAACACATTTTAAAAGCGCTTTTCGTTAAGTAGTCTTAAAAACTAATAGTCTTTTAGTTATATTGTATGCGAAAAATAATTTATAAATAATAGCTATACGGCTATACGTATAGCGCGGCATAAAAATGAAATAAAACTTTGTTTTTGTCTATAAAATGCGAGAAAAAAACTTAAAAATTTTGATTTAATGTTATTTTATATGCTGGGGTGACGTGGGAGAGGCGGTGCCGGCGCTGCCCGGGCTGTACTGTCGGTCCCCATCGCTGCTACCAGTGCTTCGATTGGATTTATCTGCGAAAACATCGATAAAAAAATCACAATTAAATCACTACTCAATCGACCAATAGATCCAAAACCTAATTACCACTCGTGTTGTGGACATCGATATCGATATCGATGACCCGTAGCTTCGGTGAGCCGTCGGACAGGTGTTCGGCCGCCGACGCCTCCTTCGCTTTCGCAATACTCTCCCTCATCAGCGATCGGTCGCCTTCGAGGGACTGTAGCCTCGCCTCGCGCCACAGTCGCCTCTTCTCGGCCTCGTAGACGCGGCGCTGGTTAGGCGTCATGTGCTGGAGCTGCTCCTCCAGGAGCTCCTGCTCCGGGTCGACGCCGCCGCCGATCTTACGCACCCGCTCTCTGTACCGGCGCTCCGATTTGGCCGTTCGGAACACCCGTCGGCCGTCCTCGTCGACCACCGTATCGGCCGTCTGTTCCGACACAAACTGGTCGATCAGCTCACCCGTCTCGTCCTCGTCGTCGTCGTCCTCCTCCGCCATTGACATTAAGCTCTTGATCTGTTCCTCAGAAAGCGACGCAAACTTTTTGGTCTCCTCTTCGCGCAGTCTCTCGAGTTCGTCGGCCGACAGGTAACTGAAACGCTTGCTCTCCGAATAGCTCTCATTCCGGGTGTTCATCGACGCCGACGACGACTTGGATTCGGTGGTCGCGTCGCCGCCAGCGCCGGTAGACATCGTCGTTGTCGTCGACGATCGCAATCCCTGCTCGAAGCGGCGCTTCTTCTCGCTAAATGTCAGCCATTCGGGCGACTCATCCGACTTCTGTTGCGACATCAGCGCCAGACTGCGAGGTTTGGGCGGTTTGTCGGGCTTCGGGGGCTTAGCGCCCGGTATTTTCGACGTCTGGTACGGGTCGAGCATAGGGCTGGTAGGGCTGCCCGACTCCTGGTCGTGGGCCCAGCCCTTCAGCGGCGATATCTTCAGTATGGGAGACGGGGTTCGCGTCTTGATTGGCGTCGACGACCGCGACCGGGGGGTAGAGCCGGGCGACGGGCTGTCGCGGGCCGGTGTGCTCGCCCGGGACGAGGGGTTCGTAGGGATCGGACTCTTAGTGGTTACTCGCGTGGAAACGGGTGGCTATTAGTGGAGGGGATTAGGGGTTTCAGTCAATCAAATCAAAACATAAAAAGTATGCATAAAATAAAAGTACGGGTCAAACATTCGCCTCATAATTATGGGACAAAACTAAATGCAAAAATCAAATTTCAATCGTAAATAAGTTTATAAAATAAAAATAATTATTTACTAATCGTTACAAAAAAATTATTATAATCTCTTTGCGAGTGATTGCATAACTCAGTGGTACTTAACATGCGATTTCGTTAATGAAAAAAAATTACAAATACTTTCATTGGTTTTGTCATAACTTTTAGTTTTAAAAAATTCAATGAATAATAGACTTAACATTGAAATGCAAAATTCGTTTCTCTAGTCAATTCAAAAGCGTTACAAATAAGTGATGAAAAATAAGTTATTCATTAGATTTAATGCTTTTAATCAAACGAAACAGAAAAACATAAAAAAGACATGAAATTCAATGGTTTTGGACATAAAGCTCATCGAAACGGAGAATCACTTATATATATATGGAGTGGTATTCTGTCGGTTGAGTTACTTATTGACACAAAATAAGTGCTTTTAAGTCGATATGAAAATTGAGTTTTTTTATTATGTATTTTGAGAGCAATAGTGGAGTTGTGTTTGCATTCATCGCTGTTTGAACGAGGAATGGGAGGAATGGGAGGAATGGGAGGAATGGGTGGACATAAGAAGTATAGTTATATAGAGTTATAGAAATTATAGTCAATTCAAGGTATGGAAAGTACATAAAACTGTCAAAAAGATCGCAATGTTTTACTCATTTATAAGAATATATTTAATTTAAAGGATAATTTTTAAACATAATACTAAATACAGCTATTCAAATTTTACCTAGAACAGTATGCAATATGAACCCAATGAGTGCCAACTTAACCTAAATTAAACTAAAATAACATCCCATACCTAACCTAACATCCCATACATCTATACAATAAATGCATTACGAGTCGCGACTTACAAGTTATTCAGTGTTTCCAATGAGTGCTATAAACATATTGTTCTAAAGGCTGTCTAATAATCCCTTTCCAACTCATCTCTACTCCATGTCTACCCCGGAGTGGACAGTATGAGGACATACGCGGACACAAACCCAACAAAACAAGGAGTACTCACAGTGATAGTGGGCGGTGTGGTGGCGACACCCGAACCCGTATTCACGTTGTGCTTCTTCATGATAACTGTCGTCGTCTTCTGCTCTTTGGAGGCCTGACTCGTCGTCTGATTCGTTGTCTGTTTGCTCAGCTGTTCGGCCGCTTTCACCACTTCTATCACCTTTTGGTTCACATCCCTATCCGACTCAGTCAACAGCATATCCGCGTTGTTGGCCAACGCGTTGCTCGTCGGCACCGGTATGCGACTCCTCGACGACGACTCGTTCACCACCGGCTCGACTCTCGACGGCGCGCTTCCGCTCGTCGAGAGCTCGGACACGTTGTTCATCACAACCCTATCGGCGGGTGGCGTCTGCTTAGGCGCCGGCGTCGCCGTAAACACGTCGTCCTCTTCTCTGTCGGGCGACGCGAATGACTTAAAACTCTTAGCGGTGGGAGAGGTGGGCGTCGGCGTCTCGGGCACCCCCGACACCCGTTTCTGGGGGGTGTCGGCGGTGTCGTAGCCGTCGCACACGAGTAGCACAATCTTATTGCCGGCGTTCCGGAGCGCGTGCACCGACTCCTGATGGGTGGCGCCCAGCAGTGACGTCTCGTTCACTTCGATGATCCGCATGCCTGGCCTGAGTCGGCCGTCCCGGGCGGCGGCGCCGTTCGCGTTGATCTTCGAGATGAACACTCCCTCGTCGTCCTTATCCATGGGATTGCCCGGCTGTCCGGTGGCGCCGCCTTTCACGTTCATTCCCAGCTTCTCCGTCGGCAGCTTATGGATGATGAGCTCCTATTTGGGCGGTAATTATGAGCGCGATTTAGACATTAATTACACAATTAATGGCGAATTGAAAACAACAAACAGAGGAAATACACGTCAAACTTAAACAAAAACTCAAAACCAAACCAATGAATCAAATGATAAGACAAATCACACGAAATCATAACAAAAAACTAATGAATTATCGGTTCTCTTACTCTAACATCGATTGGTTGACACTATAGGACAGAGAGCATAGAGAGAGACACCCGGAATAGCAGTGAGAAACACGCGATTAGTGATTGAGATATAGATATACAGTATATAAATATATTGAGAGTAACAACAGGACTATTCAGTGGACAGGTATCTAAAACCTCTACAATCGGATAGACTATTGTAAAGAACAGTTAGCGCCCAACCTTCCAGCCTATGGGCAGCGGCTCGTGTCGGATGGTTAGCATCAGCTCTTTGGCCGGTCGTAATAAGGCGCCGACCGCCTCGTTATGCGTCGCCTTCGATACGTCGACGCCGTTAACGGCGATCAGTCGGTCGCCGATCCGTATTTTGCCGGTTCGGTGCGCGGGACCATCGGCTACGACCTGACGGTTAAGACAAAAAAAACACACAATTATTACACCAATCGGTGGCAAAACATTTGGTTAATAGACGTACTTTCGATACGAAAATCCCGGGTTCGCTGCCACCGAACGGATGGCATGAATGGTCTGCCAGTGAGAGAGAGGCAAGCATTTCATCAATTAAGACATTCGTGTCACTCGTCTATGGGATCACACAATACCTGAACCGCCGATAATACTGAGTCCGAGGTTGCGTTCCTCAGACTTGATGAGCGTTACGGTCTGTGGAGAGACACGAAAAACGAGACAACAATTCACGTGATTAGAGACATAAGTCACAGAGAGTTTGTGGGGGTAACGAGCGGGGGTGGGTGGGGGTTGGACACCGCCGCCGCCTGAGAGGGGAGACTCACCTCCTCAATGGGCGGCAATGAGAGGATATTATTGGTAACTCTGGTCACCACGTTCTCGGTGTACGTCGTTTTGGTGATCACTTCGGTGAAGACGCCGACGCCTGTGGGCGCCGCCGGGAACTGGGCTTCCAATGGACAGTCAAATTTGGACACGAGCTCCGGCTTCTGGATGGTTACGCTCAGAAGGGGTCCGTCGCTCGTCGATGAGGACAACCGTTTGGCACCTGTAGCCCCAAACGTAAACCGCATTAAAAAAATCATATAAAATACAACTCACGAGAGAGAGAGAGAGAGAGAGTATGGGCTCACCATTTGTGTCGAGCGATAAGGCACTTCGGGATATGTGGGATGGATTCGCTGCGGCGGATGAGGCACTGGTAGTGGTGGTGACGGTGTGATTGGCCGGTAGTGTGGCGCTGGATCGGGCGCCCATCACCACCGCGTCGTTGTTCCGAAGGCCCGGCAGTTTCGTGTAAATCGAGTGCTGGGGTCGAGCGCCGGGCGAGTGAGCAGTGGTGGGTGTCACGGGCGCCGACTTGGCGTCCGTGCCGTCGCCCACGAGACTGCTCACTGATCCCAGGGTCGGGCGCCGATAGGAACCCGTATACGAGGGCCGGTTAGCCATGTAGGACGAGGCGTAGAGTCCGGTGTAGGGCCGGCCCATGCCGTACATCTTGGGCGACGTGTCGGAGCCCTCGTGCTCCACAACCAGTCGCACGAACCGGTCGACGCCCGTCAGCATCGCCACCACCTGCTCGTGGGTCAGGTGCTCGACGTCGGCGCCGTTGATGGACAGGACGCGATCGCCGACCGATAGTTTGCCGTCGCGATGGGCGGCGCCGCCCTCCACGATGTTCGACACGTGCACGCCTTCCGAGCCCTCCTTATAGGGCGTACCGCCGATACCGCCGGCGATACTGAAGCCAAGGCTGCCTTCTTTGCGGATGAGTGTCGTGTAAATGATCTGTCGGTTCAGGTCGTAGTCCGGCGTTTGCGGCTGAGAGGCGGCGCCGATGGAGGTCTGCCGGTGAACGCCGGGCGTCGGC